TTGACATAACAACGAGTACTCGCCAAAACAGGTGTAGCATTCGTCATGATAATCATTACCACTTGCGATGTTGACAACTTCTGGAACACACTCTTGCATCCAACATTACTCAACATCATGGACGAGCAAGGAATGACAGTGAGAATAGTCATGGCTTTGGCAGTGATAGCTATTCATAGACGCGAGTGCACTCTACATGGCCAACCTGCACGGGCACAGCACACGTCCAGGCGCCACTCTTTGGGAGGACCTGCAAGAAAAAATGCGCACGCAATAAAGCTTAAGATGCTCATACTAGTCGTAAAATGCAAAGAGGTTCCGTACAGGTTGAAGTAGCCGAGGTTTGACACTTGAGGTTCCGCTTCGACTTCAGCGCACGCGCTTCCAGCTAGCCAAGCACTCACCACTTCCTACTGTACAAGCTTGAGAATCAGCAGGTGGTTTTGATGCTTCCATGTTAGCACGTATGCACATGCCAGAAATTCACGAGAACACCCTTGTAGCTGCAAACAATCTTGCGATCGCACACAGATGCATTCTTGCTTCTCTAACCGCACATCTGCAGCAGTACACCGGGCACACGTAGACGAGGCACAGGTTTCGAGCCGGGTCAAACTTCTTTGTTGAGGAGCAGGAGGAGAAGGCGCGGGCCAATAATTAGCGTTACGTAGACGTAGACTCTCTAAAACCGTGCAGAGTGAGGTAGCTTGTGCCTTGGGAATTGTTTGGGCTTTCGGCCGAGCTGGAAAATCAAGTGCAATCCCCACGCCCTTGCTCGACTACGATCAACACAAGGATGTTGGGAAGACAACTGTCACAACAGATTCTCTTCTATCGCAGTTCCTTCACCATCTTCAGCTGCTTGGAGAAATGCCTAGCGCACGCAGGCCTATGGATGCGATCCGATGCTCCGTAGATTTGCCACGCGAAGTCGTGGCCACCCTGAGTTCGGAATGCAACTAAAACGACCTAAGGCTTTGAGCACGTGGATCAGGAAAGTGGACAACAGCAATAACTATCATGACAACCACTGCCATCAGAAGCGCGCGAATGGAAAAAAAGTTTGGACTTGCCAAGCAATCATGTTTCTGCTTGGACGAGAGCTCAAAAATTCGGCAACTGCAACCATATAACTGCTTCTGGTCTGTCTGTCTGTCTCAATATTACAATCCTTTTTCTTGGTCTTCTTCTTCTTTTTCGTCTTCTTCTGTGTGCTTCATGTCTGCTTGAAGTGTTGGGGGCCAAGGTGGCTCAGGCTTGGCTGCTTGAGATGTGCTACAACGTTGTAAAAAATCTCGACCTGGGGCTCGCTCACCCTCGTTCAACCTCGCTCGACCCCCAGACGGCGAGACAACGCTGAACAGAGATGCCCTTAGAGATCTTCCCAGCCCTGCAGCCGCGCGGCACTCTTACATGTGTTGCATACCCCTTCCTTATTGGGGTAAAGCCTAGTGACCCCATTTTATAGTCAAAGTGGTCTATGAAATGGGCCAAATGGGGGTGACAACTATTTTGGGGGCACCCCGAAAAGTCTATATAACGAGGCTCTTGAGATAGGTCTAAACTGTAGCACCAAAGCATATCATGAGGAGAGCTGTTCTATAGAATGACTGGCTGACGTACACTCAAGATTATGGACCTCATCGGTTATAAAACCATCATCTACTATAAGATGGCAGGCCCATGTGCCCCTGATAGATTAGGCACCACTGGCTGAGCCCACCTACTTCGTCTATGAAATGAGGCCCCCAAGTACCCCTTCATCCCAAACTTGGTCCGATGCAACGCATCCATGGCTCAAGTCCGCTCAGGTCCTACAAAGACGCACAACGCAACACATTCGAGACGCAAGTCCGAGCAGATCCCACTTCGATGCACGCGCGCGTGCACAACGCACAATCATCCCTCAGGCAGGGCAACCTCATCCGAAACAAAAGCATACGGATCCATGATTTTGCAGGCAGGTGTCCCGATGTGATCACCAACTTTCCAGCCCATCAGGTGTGGGTCATGTTTCAGGAAAAGCTGGCGACTGCCTCGCAAGAGGCTTTTTGGATATGGGCTCAGGGTGGCTTTTGGATTCGCAACTTCCACAAAAGCTGCCTTGAAACTCAATAGGAGCCCCTGACCAGCCTGCGTGTGTCATGGTACTATCAGGTCTCGAAACTTCCCTTGAAGATGAAGTAAAGACCTGAACACTCAGACACAAGTGCATCTCAAATTGTAATTTTGTTTGAAGGGCCACAACTGTTCTGTCCAAGTACTTCTACTCTCAGCACACACACCGCTGCTACTGCCCAACATGTCACTCTGAGATTTCTTCCAATATGAATTTGCAATTGAGGACACAGGATTTTGACAAACCTCCAATGCATAAACCATGGATATAGCAGTCCCTATAAAAACCCTTATAAGGGTTTCCATTCTGTTTTCCATTCTAACTCTAAACTCTAAAGAGCAAGGACCACACCAGCAATTTCTGGCCGGGCCTTTTTCTGCATTTCGACTCAGCAGAGTCCATGTGCGAGCAAGCCTGACTTGACTCTCAAATTGACATCTTTGCGGTTGAGGGTCCCCTGCATGCAGCCCAATGCAACATGATCCCTACTGCAAGGACCCAACAAGGGTCCCATTGTTTTGAGAAAACCACACTTGACAATCCTTTGGAGAAGTCTGCGCGACACGAGGCAGAAGCCTCTGTTTAAGTTCGGGTCGAAATCCTAGGAGATATACAAGAACGCCCTGGACGCTCAGCGACAGACATGTGCAACTTGTTTCGCCCTCAAGCCTCGCATGAGTTTTGCTATGCTATCACGCCCTACAGTACCTGTGCATGGGATCTAGCAATGACCTGAACTCCATGCACAGGGAAATGTCCAGCCCTGCCATCCCAACGTTGGAGGACCTTCAAGTCAAAGCATGGAGATGATGCGAGGTAACCGCAAAAGACTATGCAGGGATGGCGTGGAACCTGTTCAGGATGCTCAGCGCGCATTCGAGGTATAGCGCAGGGATTACAAAGCGATCACCACATGAAAGACGAGAACATCCTCAGGAGTAAGGATGGAAAGACCGAGTAGCTCCTGGCCGTGGATTTCCACGCGGGCCTGCAGAAGCCAAAGTGTCTCCAAGACATGAACCACACCATGAAACGCACGGCTCTTGAAGTGACACCTTTGTTTGTGGGCAATATTTGTGACGTCAATTGTGTCAAGGTTATCTTCTCTAGAAAGGTCTCAGAGGTTCATACAGCACCATAAAGTCAGTTTGAGGTTTGCCTTACATCAGACTTGAAGGTTTGCGGCTTCGGGTGCGCCGTGAGAATCGTCGCCAGTTCCGATAAATGGCCATTTAGCTAAAGTGGAGCGCATGCAGCAAATCTTTCGAACAAATCCACCAAAAACAAGACGTAGGATTGAAACTTAAAGAAGATGCCACTCAGAAAAACCTGCGAAGCTGACGGCTCCTCCTGCAATGTAGTTTTGCGAGCCTCCCAAAAAAAGACTCAATAGTAATTCTGAGAAGTGCCTGACCCAGATGATTGAGAAATTCGTATTGCACCTGAAGGGAAGCCTTCAGATGGGCAACTTCTCTGCTAGAAAGCGAAATACGCATCTGATTCAGAAGAAAGTAGTCCTTGGAAATGGATCTTTCCCCCCCCCACGCCTCGCCAAAACTTGCAAGGAAACGATCTCCAAACCAGCGGTGGCTATCAACACTCTTCCTGGATGATGACTCTGCTGTTTAGGATCCAGGCTCATAGTTTAGAAGGTTTTGGTGGGGACTTTGGGGTGGGGGGCTTAGGATCTCTTGTTAAACCGTGCACGAGAATGAAAGGTACCATTTGATTGCAATCTGCTGTGACGAGTTGTCTACCAACCCACAACCCTCTCTTACACCTAGTGCCAACCTATGCCACTGTGCCAGCGTCTTCGATGCCTGCACAGATTTTTGCTGGCAGGAACATCATGCGCAAATTTTCCCTCGCTGGCTAGGTCCAAGAGCTCTTGAACAACCGGGCAACGTAAGTCATCCGGTTCTTCTCCAGCCCTGAATCCTGTAAACGCGGGGTCGGGGGTTGCGAATGAGGTGCCCCAACTTTGAGATCTTGGTGAGGATCCGCTATTTTGCAGACTTGGAAGCGGGCTTCAGTCACGGCCAACTTTAGCCAAGCATCTTGATGTAGATGGTTGCATTCAACCTGAGTCACAGCTCTGGTACCCAGGTCATCAGACGGGCGCCCCAAGTTAATCTGCATAGAAACGAAGATATTGACCTGAAAGAATGACTTCTGAAACTCGATCGTGACTATACCTGAAGCGCTGAGATTTTCACGGGCTTTGACAAGCTGATGAAGTCCTTACTACAAGGAGCCCGCTTTCCAGAAAACCATGACATACACACCTTGACACTATTTCAGCCCTTCGAAATCATCATGTTGCGCCTCGCATCTTATAATCAGTTGGGCACTCTGGAGTAGAGCTACCACCAACACTTCCAGTTCAATATACCAAACAGACCTTGTGTCAGGGTTTGCAGCCACATTTGCCCAACCCCGACTTCATCCGAAGCAGCTGGTCTGGTCATTGTAGGGCTTGGGGCTTTTCCTGCTTCCAGGCTTGCACAAATGGATGCCTTCTTAGAACAGTTTCAGCAGCAGCCAGCGGCCTAATTGCTCAAACCAGTCCTCAGGCTTGGGATTCCCTCTCTGCATTCCTACATGGTCCTCCTGAAAACAAGCATCAACCCGTATACTTCTGAAATGGGTTCACGCGCAACTCCTATTCAAGCCAAAGTCCTCCCGCAGGGTTGAAAATCTGAACCCTGTATGCCCAAAATAGACCTAACGACCATCAGTCTAAAAAAATGAATAACGATCTAAAGTTTCTATTCTATTCGCTGCCCGAGGTCCACATGTCAATCCGGTCAGACCCAAAGTGGAACACAGCATCCCTGCAATCATCCTCATTGGCGACACTATCAAGTTGCCACCCAGAAGCAACATAGGATTGAACCGCGAACCGACCTGGCTGGTGGTTCGAAAGCGACTGTCTGGGATTACTTAGGAATTACTCAGCGCTCTGTAGCCGTGACGCCAGACATGGCAGGGCTCAAGTGTCACCGAAATTAAAACCATTCTTGGAAGGGTACCCCAGGGAAAGCGTTCTACAGTAGCATGTGTGGATTGCAAAGAGGACACTCCGGTGCGGAAGCATGGGCAGATAGAAAATTCTGCAAGGATCTTTCGAGTTATGAAATAGTGCCTTCCACCCACAACCGTAATGCAGCCCATGGCATGGAGCGGCCACAACAAGCCGTTGAGAGCCAAAACCCTAGCCCACAACCCCCGAGACCCGGGAATCGAGATGCCGTCTGAAGCTAACTCGACCCAAATACTGGGCTTCCCACTCCAACCTTTGCTTATATGGCGGGCGACTTGGAAATAGCCACCCTCTCCCACCAGAATGTAGTTGGTCCGCAGCTCCAGGTCCGCCTGTTTGAGGTGATCGAATGCTCTATACCTGTCACGACCCACCTTGCTTCAAATATTGCCGCGCAGCAAGAAATATTCAAAGGCAGAAAATAACATCTTTGCGAGTCAGATGCTGCACATACTTGTCGCCTTAGGCATCTATGCCTTCGGCAATGGCAGAGGCAGTTTCGTAGAGTCATTTATCACGCTCATACTGAAGTCGCTTCAAATCAATGAAATCAATTGCCCCTGTACTCCCCGCCCCAGTTCTGCGGAGGCACCCCAGCAAACAGACGGTTCTCAAAAGCAGGGCATGCCGGCATGCCTATGGATCCTTGCTCCAGTCTCTCAAAGATTTGGGCGTGCCCCCACATTGACATCCTGCCAGCCTTGGAAGTGTCCCACTTCACGGTGCCGTAGATCGTAAGCGTCCTGAGTCTGCACGAAAGCACATGTCCACATTTATTCAAATCACAGGCAGTCTCAGGAGGGCTTCTTCTGCTCCTCCTCCTCCTCCTCCTCCTCCTCCTCCCCCGCCTCCTCCTCCTCCTCCCTCCTCCTCCTCCTCCTCCTCCTCTACTGGCAGCTGCTGCTGGTGCTGGTGCTGGTGCTGGTGCTGGTGCTGGTGCTGCTGCTGCTGCTGCTGCTGCTGCTGCTGCTGCTGGCGGTTCCTGCTGCTCCTCCTCCTCCTCCTCCTCCCATTCCCTTTTGCTGCTGCTAGACAAACGCGCAATGCAAACTCATACGAAATCCCTAAACCTAGACCCGACCTGCACACACATTACAACCAGAGCGCGCGTGACAACAAACACGACAGGCGGCTCGACATCGATGGACTGGTCCAGAATCCAAGTGTGACCCGCAGGCACCACGCAGTGTCCATCTGGACAGCTGCTGGTCAGCGCACCACTGCTAAGCAAGTCCTCCTTGGTGTTGGCTTCGAGTATCTGGCTCCCCATGTGCAGACCACGGATCAATGCCTAGCCAAAAGTATTCTCGTGTCTTGAGTCCTGACAACCCCCCCATCTCTTATAGTTCACCATGCTAGTGCTTTGGGTTTTGTGGGGAGAAGCTTTCTGCAGGTCCTGCTTTGGGATGGAGGTAGTGTGGTACACCAAAGATCCTAGATCTTCAAACCCAGACAATCGAAAACTCCCGACCACAACGCTCCTACGCTGTTCGCATAAGGAGGCTTCAACGCGGAAAGCTCCAGTCCGAAACTTGCAACGGCCACAGCCCAGGAAGCCTGAATGCTAACCCTCAGAGTTTAGGGCTTCAAGGGAAGCCCCTAAAGCCTAAACCTTAATCCGTGGGTTGCAGCCCACGGCACGAGTGGAGACTGCACAGATGTGAAGCCTGCAAACTTACTGGTTCGAAGCAAGGCGGCAGCAAAAACATGTAGAATGAAAACGACGGCACTAGCATGATAATGATGCGGATAGCAAACAGACAGCTCTTGCACGCTTGAAGGCAGATGATCTGAGATGCAAGCAGGAGACGATCTCCATCCAGTTGGGTGGAGATCATGATGATAGGCTTACGGGTTTCGAGGTTGAAGGACTGTGTGTCGAGGGCTTGCGGGATGACAGCTTTCTCTCCTAGAGAGGGCCCTTGACAGGATCCATGATTTACACGGAAGTTCTGCACAGGCACCACGAAAACGACAGAGTACGTTGCCTGTGCAAGTCTTGCTGACAGCGCCAGCCTACTGCTGCTTATGGACACAACGCTGTGTCCGCCAAAGCCTTTAGCTGTTGACCTGCAACAAAAGGTCCCGGCTATAGGCGTCATCATTCTTACGAAAACAGATAGAAAACAAATAAGATACCGCTCATTTCCCCTAGCCTGGCCAAGACAGCACTGAACCCAGGCAAGCCAAAAGGCCTCTGCTTCTTGGAAGCAAAGTCAGCAACAAGGCCCAAAAAAACATCATGCAAAGCCTACAGCCAATTTCGATGTCCTAAGCGATGCGACCTACTGTAGACAAAGTGCAGTAGAACAAATACGACGCCCCATCCAACCCACCACTGTTTCACAATGTCCCATTGAAACAGTATTTGGCAAGGGCGACTTGTGCGCGATGCCTCGGGCCCGTTAAGCAACGAAAGCCAACAAATGAATGGTATCGCTGTCACTTATGTGAGCATAACGTGTGCTGGCAGCAGGAATCGGCCGCAAACAAGATCAGCTCTCTGCAAGCTTTGAACCCGGGAAGATGAGGTTGGCTGAGTTCCTGTGCTTAAACCGAGCCCAGACCATGGAAGTGTCTGAGAGGTAGCCATGTGGTTGTCCAGAGCAATGAGACTAATACCGTCATGTTGCCACACCATGTGTTGACTTCGGGAGACACTCTGGAAGTTACCAACTACCAGCTGACATGAAATCTTCCCACGACACTGTCAACTGAATCAGCAGGTTCTACTGGAAATGTGCGACACCCTTTCTCCTGCCACCCCAGCATTCAAAGCGTGCAATAATCTGACTACATAGCAAAACATCCGCAATCCGAAACAAGGCCATGCGGGGACAAATCAGTAGAGAGGTGTTATGTGTTCTGGAGTGTCGAATTCCTTGAGCATTTTCTGTGAAACAAATCCTGCACTCAAGGCCTGGCCAAACAACGAACAAGACAGACACCCATTTTTGATCATTTTTGACAGCTTTCTGCACATTGCATCTCCAAAGACGGATGAGATCTCCGACTGCCGGAGCTATCTACACACGCTGACACTCGACTAGATACGCAGCCTTTAGGAGAGCTGCCTGTTCCTATGAGTCCGGACACGTAACATCTAGCAGTGCTGCGGCAGGTTGCTCACTCCAGCACGCTGTGACTGTTTCGCCTGAAGCTGTACCGCACTTGTGCATACATGCATTGATGTATTCACTAGACGTGCATATTCTATGCTGAAGGCACAAGCATTTTCACAAATGGTGGTTTGGACATTAAAAAAGGAAGAGAAGCCCTACTCCCAGTCGGCAGCGGCTCCGAGCTTTACAGGAGTAAATTGTTGTCTCGCGTCTTGCGCTTTCCAGATGCAACGCGGAAATACCGTCGACATCTCTAGCAGTTGCGTCTGCTGCACACAAGAAAACATTGAATCGGTGGGTGAGAGGGCATGCGCAGCTATCCCTGTTGAAGGATGTGAGGCATTTCCAAAGTTCAAACCTTCATATCTTGAATGGATGGAGCCCTCTACGAGCGTCCGCGGCATGACCTCTGCTGTACCAGGCATGTGTGCTGTAGACACTGACGCCCAATGCGGGGGACTGAAAACATAAACGCTACCCGCTACCCCGCCCCCTATGCACGAGCTGCTTTGGCTTTTGGTTGAGACGTATGGTGTATGGCGAATGTATCGAATGTGGCGAAATTAAGTGTGTGAAAAGTTGCTAGCTGCAATAGTCAGGTGTTTTGGGGGATGACGACACGAAAAAACAGGCGTGTTTGCGAAGTAGGCAACCAACACAGAATCTGGGTCGCTATCTGAGATTGTGTAGGGGCTGCTGTCAGGAACACCCATCCATGGCCTGCTTTGCTCTTCCTGCACTGCCCTACACCCGAAAGCCTCAACACTTCTCAGGTACCTGCCGATGCCAGCAACGACTGAGCTGCATGCTGCCCATGAAGCATTTCCTCCCGCGACGCCGCGGATCTTGCACAACATATTTAAACATATATATATATATATAGCTGTTTAAACAAAATTGACAAATGGAAAGAGAAAGATAGGTACATACTGCTAGTTACACAACGAATCAACATGTAATACATCATAACGTGATACTTCTGGAGCCTTCCATGTATTGCGCCTTCGCGTCACTGACGAAACAGCGTGGTAGATATTGTAAATGCTCTCATGCATGTGTCATAGAACATGCTAGAATCATTTGTACAAAGAAGAATGTGTTGTTGTTTTCCAGGTCTGTGCATGAACCGGCTGTCCCTCTTGTAGATGAGGCTCAAAAATGTTTGGAATCCTCGGTAAGGCCGGGCTCTGTCACTTAGTCGTTTGTTGGAAGGGGCCTTACAGTCACACCGCATGTCCCTAGGTACATATTTGAGGCAGACTTCAACTCAACACTATGCTCCCAACATGGTATCTCCTCGATACGACCTTTAGTCGATACGACCTTTAGTGGGGTTCGGGCTTCACCATCCCAAGTCAAAAGCCTCCAGGAAGCTGCCAAAGGAGATGCTCCCAGCAGCCTGGTTGCTTTCAAGGTGTAGATTTCAAGGTGTGGAGATTTGCTTTTGGCATTCGTCAGGGTTGCAGTTTTGGTGTTGAGACGTGCTGAGATTCAGGCTTCAGCAGCTTCAGCATTGAGGCCCTAGATGGGCTTGGGCTTAGAGTGTCCCTGCACGCTTGCCCTCTCGCGGCACTTGTAATGTTCTGGGCAAAAGGCGCACTTTTTACCTTTTTTTTTCTACCAAGATCTTGAAGGAGTCCTTACATAATCTCCTAGAGGCAGTTAAGCGCAACATGGCCTTGGGGATGGTAATTATTGGCTTGCAGTAGAAACAACCTGGCATACTAAACAACTGCAGTTTGAGTCCCCTGCGGCAATTCAATCTATTCTTGGTTTTATTCAACACGAAACATGTATCAACCCCACGATTTCGTAAACTCTGAAAGTATTCTTCTTCTAGAGGCCCCACATACACACGGCCCTTAACGGATCATGCCAAGGTACACCCCGCGGCCCAATCTAACTGAATCAAGTCGCCCTTAACGCACTGTAGCGGACCGAGTAGAGGCGCAAAGGTCAGGATGAGTTTGCTGTTCCTGTCTTTAAAACCAAAGAACTGTGGCCACATCTTGACCGAGGTCGCAACTGTGGAAAATCTCGCGGAACGTGTCCAGACCTGCGGAGAGCGTAACTCAGAGTCCACGTGTAAAAGCCTTGTGTCCTAAAGACCCCGTTTTGGAGCCAATGTTTCTGCTTTTTGACCAACGACTGCAAAAATAAAGTGGAAAGATACAAACAACAAGCTAGACGAGCAGAGAGGCAAACTGTAAGTCTTACATTGATGCAGAATGGTGTTCTCAGAGGTTGTGTGGCAAGTGTCAGAAATATGGCAAACACTTGGATATCGAAATCAACTGGGGCTGTATGAATACAAAGTTCACTTGCCAAAGCTGAATGATACTTTTCCACGCAGTTGATAACGAAATAGCCCACTGCACTTATTGCAACTGCAGCTCATGCAGAAACACTTTAACGAAAAGGTGTCATAGTATTGTAGTGTAGGTAAAATAAATCAAGTAAGAAAACATCGGTTAAGAAAACAAGTGCTGTGAATTTCCTGACATACGCATTTTAACTGCCCCTTGTAGCTAAGAAAATGAGTGCTCCACCCTATTTTCTTAACCTTGCACTACTTCTGGTGTTCTGGGAATCATTCGTGTGTTTGAAGCCTTTTGGAGAGATGAATACTGAGCGTCTTGAATGCTCGCATCTTTCTGGGATCCGAATCCATCCGTAGATACTGTGAAGAAAATGAGCACTGACTTGTTTAATACCATCTCCACATGGATGTGGGCCGCCCCGGGCGCCCGTGCTCCAATTCCATCCTGAACGAAATTGCAGCAGTATTTGCAGGGAGCAGATGCGACATCTTCAGATGGGAGGGAGGCGGGGGCCAATCCATTGGAAAACTGTGCCCAAAACATCAGCGCACTCCTTCTCTTAGCGATGTTTTGGGATGGAATCGGAGCATTGGGGCCCGGACGACCAAAAGCATGTGAAGATAGACCAGCAAAAGTTTATAGATCTCACCAGTTTTGTTACAGTGCGAGGGTAGAGTAAGATTCAGTCAGCTCAAAGGTCCCTCATGTTCCAAGCTTGCTTTACCATGAGAACGTGGCTCTGAGAATCCAGAGCCCATTCATTTTCTTAGCAATCGCTAAGAAATGAATACTAA